AAGTATTTTCTCGCCTAGCGTTTTTGTTCTTAGAAAGTTTTTCCCCCCCATGTAAAGTCGATACAATGTGTGACTCTCCATGACGAGGAGGGTGCGTGTGTTGTCGATGACATTTACGAACCGGAGGGTGCTCGAGAAGGCGAAGTGAATCGCAAAACTCTACGAAAATTCTATTTGTTAAACAAGCGTAATGTTAGAATCTAGCGATTCGTGTTTCGCTTTGATCTAGGGAATTTTTTTTTTTTTTTTGCTTTCAATAGGCAATGAAACTAATTTGTGCGCGCACGTGATGTTTCTTTATCTATTTAATTCAATCTTATAGATTGAAACGAGGGTCATTCTTTGTTCTCGAATGAAAATAGAATAGGAGGACTCGTTTTATAAAAATATTAAGGTAAACGATCTTAATTTATCGTGAAAGTTTTCGAATATTTTGAAAATATCTTTCAATTCTTTTTTGGAGAAATATATTTGAATATATGGAGAAAATATTAATTAAAGTTTTTTATTTTATTAGAAACAAAAATTTGTAAACGATAATATCATGTATACAAAATTAACAAAATGTAATTTCGAGGATTATAGATTATAAATCACTGTTTTGTCATTTCCAGCAGCTATGCCAATTAAATAAACACAATTTTATGAACATCATTAACTCTTATAATTGATTACACTCTTATATATGCTGTTAATTCTGAATAAATCAGGATAATCTTGTTTGGAATATTATTTTCAAAATATAAATATTTCCCACGTACAATAATTTATACATGTAGATGAAAACTTAAATTTCATTTTCAAAAATAATAATACTTTAATTGCTTTATGTTTATAATTTAAAAAAAGAATCAATTGATGTCGTAATCGAATTACTTGCCAAATATGTACACGCGGGTCTAGCTTCGATTCTACTCATCTTGAATTCATCATAGAGAATATAGACAATGATAATATATAATTCAGCCCTTTGTATGATTCGATACGTGGCGACATGAACGCGTGCTCGATGAGCGGAAGCTCCCTTACCGGAAGCAGAGTACTCTGAATATTCATTTATACGGTTCGTTATGGATCCCAGTGAGAACATGCCGAATCAACGGTCCTTCGAGACTGTGAATCATAGTTAACCTTGAATTTAGTTTAATCCCTTCGTTCCACGAAGCATTTCTAAGTAACCAGTTCCAGATCTATTTGCATTTCGTTATTTTCCGGTTGAAATCTTTTAAAAACTAAACAGTTTTGAATCCTCGAAATCGAAAAAATAATTTGTTACTTATTTGATAATAATCTAATTGAGTTTAGATTCATTATAATTTATTTGTTACAATTAATAGTGATCTATTGCAATCATTTATATGGAAAAAAAAATGGTCATTATTATTAACAGAACTATGAATCTGAATTAAAGAATTTCAAAAATCAAAATTTATTAAGATTTTTTGACAGAGATATTCCTTGAAAAGAAAAAAAGAAGAAAATATTTCGTGAATTCGAATTTACAAATTTCGATGCATCTCTCTAATATACGTGTACAATTTTGTTTCAGGGAGGAAGTACAAGAGCATACAGTTAGATGGAACGCTAAATTTGAATTTCTATGCAAGATGAGTGCCAATGCGTCCACTGGTGTTCTTGACCCTTGCATTTTAAGGATATCCGTGAGAAAGGTGAATCATTCGATCAATTATCCTTAAACCCTTCTAATCGTTGATTATTTTTGCAGGAATTGAAAGGAGGCAGGTCCTTCCAAAAGCTTGGCTTCACCGACCTGAACCTCGCCGAATTTGCAGGAGCTGGACTCTGCAGAACGAGGTATCTTCTAGAAGGATACGACGCGAGACATCGACAGGATAATTCCATGTTACGCGTTGCCATTAAAATGAATATGCTCTCAGGAGATATTCTATTTAAAGTGTAAGTTGCATCAACATATGATGCATACTGACATTTTTAAAATGTCTAAGAAAATCTGAAGTTTTATCATTTTTTTATTTTATTTTTCTGTGAAGTTGAGTATAAATCTTCTAATTTTACTTAAAAAAAAAATAGATAAAATATTTTAATTAAGTAGGCAGTAAGTGTAATAGATTTTTTTTGTTTCTAAATCTTTGTAAAATAAATATATAACAATTATTATTTGAATAATATAATTATTTAGTTTCTGAAAATTTAAATATTGATCAATCATTTAAATGATTCATTTGTTCTTCATAATAAAAATTAAATATACATCATGATTTATCTATTAAAATAAAAAATATCATACTAAAAGTTTATTATATTCAAGTTCTTTTGTGTTGCGATACTTAAGTTTAATTTATTGTATCATAAATGTTGGATTAATTAGAATGATAAGATTTGAATTAAATTTTATAGACCGTCTCCATCGTTGAAGCAAACACAGCTCGCAGTACCCGGTGTGCCAGGTGTTTCTGGTGTGACGACGGACGAAACTGTGTCTGAGAGGTGTACTAATCGAGAAGACTTTGTATCCAGTGGTTCCTTAGCTGGAAGCATAGCTAGTGCCAGCAGTGGTTTCGGCAGTCTTCCTAAAAAAAGGCCTCCCCTCTTTTCCTCGGGTAATGATTGAATTTTAATTCTAATTCTTCCATGTTCTTTCATGAAAGGAGAGAAGAAAATATAAATAAAATAAATAAAAAATACAATTAGAGATTAACTGTAGAAGTATCATATATTGAAAAAAAAGAGAAAAAGCTTAAATTGATAAACTTATATTGATAATATGTTGATTTATAATATGATATATATAATGATAAGAAGATAAGATTCTGAGATTTTTTGATGACTTGAATAAATAAAAAGAAAAATCATATCCTTTTTCAAATATTTTATAAATATTTTGGAAATTTATAATGTTGTATAAAATGAAATTATTTTCAAATTCATCTTCTATTGTATTGTTTGTTATGCCAAATTTTTATTTATTATAAAATTATATATTTTTTAATATTTTATTCTTATTGCATCACATGAAAAATCATATTTCTCTTCACAGAAGATAAGATATTTAAATAAAAATTTATACAAAGCAATTTTTTATTTTTGTTATATATACAACTGAAATTTAATGAAAGAAACATGAATAATAATAAGAATAATAAATTATTAAAATTGTTATCATTAGCAAATAGTTGATCTATCTTTCCTTTTTCAGAACTTCTCAGTGGAACAGAATCATATGATCCAATGACCCTGAGCGAGATTGTACCATCGGCTCTTCCAGTGGAAACTTTAGCTGAAGCGCACACAGAGTCGGGACATTCTCGTAACAGTAGCAACACCAGTCAGTTAAGCAAAGGTTCCGGCTATGGATCTTTAAATTCTCACAGTCAACACAGTAGGCAGAGCAGTAGTGGTGACAGTGGTCACATTAGGTAAGGCCACGCGGCCAACCAGGGAATCAAATGGAAAAAAAAAAAAAGTGAAACAATAGAAAACTCTATTTCCGGAAAAACGAAGAGATTGATCGTAGTTAGATCGGAAATTTTAAATCGAAATAGAAATTAAGTCTTAATTATAGTCCAGAGTTCTCTTCTTCATACTTTTTGTAACAAGAACTTCTCTCATTTTGGCTCATTAACGGCTTATTACTTATCTTACTATCTTTAAAATGTTTCACTCTTTGATCTCTTTCTAGGAATTTTTTTGTAGTTACATATTTAAAAAAAATCTTTTCTTTTTTTTTTTTATGACAATTTTACATTATTATGTACATATCTATGGTTTTACTTGGATGATGAAGCGAGCATGGTATTTCATAAGGGATTAAATGAGAGGAATTTCGTAATAGGAATACAGTTGCTTGTATAAATCAACGTCGTGGGATGTTATACCGATAAAAGACGCAGCAAAGAATATCATCGTAACAACAGCACTAACAATTTTTTGAAATGCGTGCCAATAAATACCATGCAATCGCGCTTGCGATTTTGCTTTGAAACTCTACGCTTAAGTCTTATATTTTGCCGAATCTTTTTACAAAAATTTCTTTTTTAAATTGCATTATGGATTAGTTTTAATAATTTTCGGTGCCTGATGCTTAACAAAAAAAAAAAAAAAAAAAAAAAAAA